CCTCACCGAGCTGCTCTCTGATGGTCTTGTAGCCAGTCCCAGCCTTGTGGAGGTCTACAGTCTGGTCCCTGAGGTCCTTAGACAGCTCTTTAGTCTGGCCCATGGTGGAGAGGTTGGAATCTGATTGATTGATTCTGTGGACAGGTGTCTTTTATACAGGTAACTAGTTGATGTTAGGAGTACTTTCCTAAAGGAAATGGACTTATGTAACCGGTCTGTGGGAGCCAGAATCCTTGTTGGTTGCAAGGGGATCAAATACTTATTTCAAACAATTAAATACAAATCAATGTGTATCTTTTATATAATGTCAATTTCTGGATTTTCTTTTTGATGTTCTGTCTCTCACTGTTCAAATAAACCTACCCTTACAATTATAGACTGTTCCTTTCTTTGTACGTGGGTAAACTTACAAAATCGGCAAGGGATCAAATACTTATTTCCTCCACTCATGTGAATCTACTTGGTTCCTTTACAACACTGATTCAAAGTGAGTTATTTGTCCTCCTTCTAGAGAACTTTTAAATTGATTTGTATACTTGGTGTGTCCTCTTACATTATTTCCTGACACGCCGAGACCCTTCAGCATGGTTGAGATGTACTTGAACACCTCGAGCTGCAGGGCAGTGTTTCCGATCCTCCTGATGACGGGGCTGGACTCCTCTGGTCGCAGTGTGTGTCTCAGCAGAACCCAGGCCAGCAGCACCGGCCCGTGGTGAGGGATGTCTCCGAACGTCAACAGCAGCTGATCCATCCCCTGGGGGGAAACACAGGAAATATGGAGGTTCAGACATTGAGTATTACAGCTCTACTGTTATACTACATCAAAGTTGATGTCTTGTTTTATTTGGATGCCTGGGGCCCGACCTTGATGACGTCTGCAGCGCTGGAGAACTGATGCTGCTCTGTGCACTCCTCCAGGGCACACTTGTGCAGAAAGTCTATGTCCATTCCTTCCACCAGGATTAGGGAGCTAAAATATCTGCAAGTCAGAGAAACATCGATGATATTAAAGAAAACACAACAAATGTACTCATATGGGTTGATATATTCTGAAGCAGATGTATTGGATCTGTGTTCATGGAAGCTAAGGCAGAAAAGAAAAGAAATGTCTTAATCAAAACATTTGGGTATATTTAGAAACAAGGCTGATTGATTTGTCACCCAGATTATGAAATAGGGAAGAACTAATACCATTTTGGAAACTAATCACAGAGTGGACGTACAAAATATTTTTCATTTTCATTAGCACTGCGAGATTGGCCATTTGTCTTTGGGGGTCAGCCCTCTCCTATTTTTTTCAGTATATTTGAATATCTTAGCTTCATTTTTGAACCCAACAGTAATACCATTTGTCTTTGGGCACAGGATAAATGAAACACATCAACTTCACAGAGACTTTGAGGTGCTCTTACCCAATGCGGTCGACCAGGGCGTCCATGCTTTTATCTACAAGATGTCTGTTGGTCTGCCTCAAACCGAAGCCTTGCTCTTTGAACATTTTGGTGAAGCTCAGCAAGTCGGACGGGCTCATCTCAAAGTATGCGTAGTATAGGAAGATGATCTCAAGCAGAAGAGACTGTTCCCTCAGACACTGCAGGAACCAGTGGGACACCTGCCTCTCCGTCTAAACATTTCATACAATTAAAAAACATGTTGCATCCTCTGATGGACAAATGTTAACATCTCTTCCAAGTCGTGCTTGAGTTATATCTGAGTAATATGTGATATTTATTGAAATGATATCTCGCTTATAGTATAATGGTATTCATCAGATATGAAACAAATAATCACCATGAGGTTTCCGTGAGTTTCCCATGTTGGTGCTTCTGCTTTGAAGAGGTTTTCAAACTGTGACTTATACTTGCTCACCAGGTCCTTCTCCAATTTATTCACACAGTTACTGTACTCAGCCTGAACAGATCAAAACAAACCCAGAATGATTTGACACAAGCAAAGATAAACAACTACATCTTTAGGGAGAAATGCACAATGTGACCCAAATACAGCTGACACTCACTCTGTAGGGATGCCGCTCATCCTGAAAGTATGTCAGCAATAGTAGGACACATCTGAGCAGACACATGCGCTCCTCGTAATAATAGTCAGCCACCTGTAGATACACACAGTCAGAATTATTGCACTCAATATGGAAGTCATTCAGTTATGTGTAAATGTCTGCAGATCTGTGTACTAACCTTAAGCAGCAGTGACTGGCTTTGTCGCTCATCTTTGAAAACAACCTGTAAACAAAGATATGTCAGCCACCATCTGAATATCTTTTATATTAAAAGGTCCAATGTCATGGCCATTTCTACTGATCATAATTCCATTGTTGAGGTCTACTAGAATAGATTGACATTGTTTTGAATTTTGACTTGAGCCGTCCCTTATAGATACTGTGTTTTTACGTTAGTGAGCCGGATCATTTGGCTCGGCTCTCTTAAAGCGCCGGCTGTTTCGGCTCCCAAACGGCTCTTCATGTTACCACAGTTTACCACGGAGCCTCAGTTTCGCCGCTGCGAGGCTCTGGTGCTCGCAGCTCACGCGCTTGCTCCACTAAAACCCCCCACCCCCCCGCTCATCTCGTCCAAATCGCGCACGTTCCGTGTTGTCCTGCAGCAGGCATCTTCGATGTCTGGGAAACGATCTTCAATACTCAGAAAATAATCCCACCAGACTCCTTTGCCCCTCCAACAGAGGGATGTCCTTGTCCTGTTTCCTTTTCGTCATTTCAAGCGATAAAAACTCTCGATCTTCTCTCAAATTATTAATATCTTTTGGACGCCCTCGGCTCGCGTTCAGGGCGTCCCGAGCTGAATAAGGGCGTCAAATGACGTCAAGACGGCCCCCTGGCGGAAACGCTGGTGTACACATATCACTTAAATAATTGCATTTACATACCCTTGTAACTCTGATTGTAGAACCACGCAAAAAAAGAAAAGGAGATAGCAACACCTATACAAACTGACAACAAATCTTTGCTGAGCCTAAAAATAATCGTAAATAGCATAATGAAAATAAATATATTGCATTGCTCAAAACAGCAGCATCCAAAAGTCTAATCCTTGGATATTACATGTCTCTGCATGCATGCACGCACGGAGCACCCGAAG